GTTGGTCATTTTACTGAAAATACCTTACTGTTGGTCATTTTACTGAAAATACCTTACTGTTGGTCATTTTACTGAAAATACCTTACTGTTGGCCATTTCTTTAAATATGATGTATTGCTGGCAATTTTACTAGAAAAATGCATTTTATATACTTTCATAGTGTTGTTTTTGTTTGAGTGTTCACTATTTGGCAATAACTGGGAACCTAACAGGTGCTATCAACCTAGGTTACAGTGGACCTGGCAACAACAAAAGTTAAGAGATGGTTCCATGCTCCCCAAAACCACCAATCTCCCGATGATGGATGTAGTTTATCCTCATGCTAAGAATTAACTTGTGTTTTATAGGTTACACAAAAGCATTTGACAAGGTACAGCACAAGGATCTATTTGCTAGGAAAAGTAGATCTATTTGGAAAAGATATTAGAATAATCCAGAACTTCTGAGAGTAAAATGAATTGAGCAGTTATACAAAAATAGAAAAGGGTGTGAGACAAGGATGTGTCTTTCCTCAAATTTATTCAACATTTACACTAAGTCTATCCTAAGCTGGGAACCTACTAGAATTTATTATTGGTGGACATAATCTTAACAATATAAAATACACAGATGATATTGCACTGATGGCTGATTCAGAAAGAAAAATACAGGGATTCCTAGAGAGGGTAGTAAAAGAAATAAAGGAAAAAAAGGACTAGCCATCGAAAGTATGATCATCAGCAAAAGAAAAAGATGCAATTTACAAGTTGGAGACATAAACATCAAGAAGGTACAGAAATTTTAATATCTTGGAAGCATTTTAACAGAACATGGAAAATGCAACACCAAAATCCAAATACACATTGGGCGAGGGAAAGATCCATTCCTAAAACTAAAAAAGTTTGGAGAAACAAAAAAAAAAATGTTAGAAACAATAAAAAAAAAAGTGCTGGATTGCTATGTGATATCCATCCTCTTGTATGGTGGTAAATACTGGACAATCTCTCTACTTATGAAGAGAAAACAGGATGCAGCAGAAATGTAATTCTACAGAAGAATACTGAGAATTTCATGGATGTAGCAAGTAAGAAACCAAGTCGTCTTAAAGAAAATGGCAACAAAAGAAAAAAAACACTTAAAATCAAAAAAAGCTGAAATTTCTTGGACACAATGAGAAAGAAGGGCTTGGAAAAGTTAACACTCAAAGCATTAGATCCTCACTAGTAATGATGTGTCTGAATATAACCTGGAAAATCAATGTACCAAAATACTTGGTTCATTGGTGTGATAAAGAGTGTTGCTAAAAAAGAATTTTTACAAGAATTTCTATTTTTATTAGACTGAACTACCTTCAGAGAACCCAACAAGGATTTCCTTTTTGAAAGCAAACTAACTATCTTTACAGGGTGTGGTCTCACAGGTGGTAAAGCTTGCAACACCTTGCAAAATAGAGCTATCTATGTTGTACTACTACTACTACTTTTGAACAGTCTACTGATCTTGGTTGTTGTAGCTTTTTTTCCTTCAGGTGTGTTATACTTGGTAAAATTTTCTTGTGAGTACAACAGTCAAACTAGTCAAATAGTTGACTTATATAGTGAGAATGCTTGGCCCCGATATATATATATATATATATATATATATATATATATATATATATATATATATATATATGTATATTATTAATAACATCTATTTTCTGTCACTCACCGATAAGCTACTTTTTATATTCAGTAATAGTGCAATGTTCAAATGTATCTGGATTCATTTTAAAATTCATTCACACTGGAGATTAAATAACAAAATAAAAAGAACATTTTTTAAAAATTAATTTTTGCCTGAGTTTTCAGTTCCTCACACCAACCATACTCAGGTGATTTTACATTCTATTAATATTAAGCAAGTAGAGAGAGAGAGAGAGAGAGAGGGGCAGATACAGACACAGAGAGAGATCTTCTGATTTTGAATATACTCGTGAGCCTGTCTGTCACAGATGATACCTTTACCAATTTAGCAAATTTTTTTTTTTTTTAAGTGACCTCCACTAGCTCAAAATACTTACTATTAATGTGATATTACTATCTTGCCAGTCACATCAGGATAATCACTTTCACAGCCTTCCTTACCATTTATGAAACATTCTGAAATACTATCTGATTTGCTCTCAAAGTAAAAAGATCCAGAACTTTGGAGAAGTATGAAGAAAGAAAAAAGAAAAAAAAAGAAAACTAATCAAGTTCCTCATACACAATATAGAATTATGTGCATTGCCATTTTTAAATGCCAAGATACTGTCCATGAGATACTGCCATATAAATGTCACTTAACAGTGGTAGGCACAAATAATGCTACTTTGTGAAAATATATAGAAATAAAGTTTGCGGCAAATTTAAATTGCACTATTTTTTTCTACAGCATTGCGGAATCCATCAATTGTATGCAAGAGTGAGCAAGAGAAATTAACAGATCATCTCATCAGTCATGTTATGACAAAGGAATTCTCATAAGATTTCATCAACCAATTCCAAGTGATAGAATTTGAAATTTGTCTTGTCATTTTCTTGTCTTGAATTTAACACCAAGTGACACAATTGGGATTTGCAACCCAACGCAATGATATGCACCAGACACCAAACTAAGTTATATTTGATACCATAATATTTAGTATAATTTAGTTAGATTTGGAACTAGCAATTATAATATCAATCTTACTGTTAGCTACAATAAAATTTTGATCTGCAGGTATCTTAATCTCTCATTATATATATATATATATATATATATATATATATATATATATATAGCTGTCACATTATTGCTAGGTATGGCCATCAAATGATATCATTGTAAGACTTGATAATGCAAATATGGCTCTTTAAAATGGCAAACATTAAACAAAATCCCCCAAAACTCTGGTACAATATTTAATTTATGAATATGAATTTATTGCCTACCAATGCCAAATTGCTAGAAACTGCAGTAGCAGGAAGGGTGGTTTTCTAAAATCCTTAAATTGCTCAACATCAATTCTTTTGCAATTTTATTGAGCACTTTTCCATGAATTTCATTGTTTCTTAACAAATCTTGGGTTTTGTCAAAAAGTTTAATTTTTTTTTTTCGTTAATCAATTAGATATACACAATTTATTACTTCAAACATTATAGTAGACACTTCATATTCAAAATAGATGTCCATTTTTATTTATTAAACTATTTAATATGCAAAATGATGTTAATATCTAAAATAAAGTTAAAATCTATACTAATAATAAATATTACATTTGTGTGTGTGTGTATATAAGTATAATAAAAAAGTTAAATGGTCAGAGTTGAATTAGACAAGGAAACAGTAGTATTAAAATAGTGCTCAATACACACATAAAAAGATAAAAATCTAACATGTAGTGCTTTTAAATATAGAAAATTAGGAAATCAGCTGATTCCTTTTTGTATCTTCAATCAATTGATTTCCTAACACTATTTTTTTTTTAAAATAATTAATTAATGAATAAGTGCAAATGAATGAATAAATGAATAAGCACAATGGGAAACTTGGATTAAAAAAAAAAAAAAAAAAATTTAAAAAGGAGGACTTCGATTTACAAGGTTCATTTGATGGTGCTGAGGTTTCAGAATTAATAGGCCTACATATTTTATATGAAATCAACAAAATTGTACATATAAAACAATCACGGCCTGTACAGGGATGACGGACTGATGATGGTGCCAGACAACAGAACAACAAATGACAATATAAGAAAAATAATTGAGTACAATGGGAACATATATATTTTATTACTTATCTACTATAAAAGTACTGTAAATATACAGGCAAGGTAGGTAGGCAAGTATAAAGTATTAATTGACCTATGGATAGAAAGACAATTTATTATAAAGCTCAGACTTTAAGAGTGTAGAAAGCATTATGAACACCATAGGTAGGAAGGTAGGTAAATAGCATTATCTTTATGTGTACCAATGTTAATTTTTCATATCCAGTCAGGCATTTGAATTGCAGTTAAGAGAGATAAGGGATGCCCTAGAATGGTAACTCTAAACCTTTTCCTCAACTCCAATTTTAAAATTGCATGGCAAATGAAACAGAGTTAATACAATGTGCTTATATTTTGTTGCATTATAACAGAGCCAATACTTTTTTTTTTTAAAATCATTTCACCCCAAGCAAAGTGTAAATGCCATTAGTACACAGTGAGTTACAGGGACTGAGAGAAAATACTGTGTATAGGGAGGATTGAGGAAAAGGACAAAACATGAATAGGATTCAAGAAGATAAAAGATTGCGATTGATATTGCATTTAAATTTTTGAAGATTGTAGTTATCAGGGAAGCAAGTAAACAGAAGGGAGTTACCTAGGCAGGAAGTGCGAGAAAAGAAACTGTTAGAGTAGAAGTGAGGGTTGTATGTAGCTATTTCAATAGTAGACTGGTGTGACCGAGATAACAATCTAGTAGCATGCTTAAAAACATGTAATCAGGGCACCAGGAAAATCATATTTGTAGAAAAGACAAGATCACAGAAACTAATATACTTTGGTTCACAGTTTGTTTTTTTTGCTTCATACACATACTGCAGTTGGGCACCTTGAGGTGGTGTAATGGCTAGCAAGCTTGTCTCGCTAGAACTATTATGACCGAGTAGTGAGTGTGTTCCTCACTAGGTGCCCCATACTTTCAGTCTTGTGCCACATTTGAGCTATGCTTGGAAAAATCACTACACATACTGCAGTTATATTTAAATGTTTAAAAATGTAAACATCTATGCAAAAACCAGAAACAGCAGCAGATAAAAAATGATGTTTTGGCCTAAAATAGTATTTAAAAGGATTAAGTCATCTTATTGCCTTGTTAAAATTCTAAAACACTGACAACATCCCTGGACACACTATCTTGAGAGTTCCCAGATCACCCAAGAGGCCATTATTGCCTATGTTGAGAAGAACTGCCCCAGAAAGGTGATGTAGTCAGGTTTTGATTATTTACCTTGAAAAGAACAAATAGATTTTAGTTTAAAAAAGAGAAGAGAGAAAAAGAAAGAGAAAAAAAAGAGAAAAGAGAAGAGAAAAAGAGAAGAGAGAAAAGAGAAGAGAGAAAAGAAAAGAGAAAAAGAAGAAGAGAAAGAGAAGAGAAAAGAGAAGAGAGAAAAGAGAAGAGAAAAAAGAGAAAAAAGAGAAGAGAGAAAAGAGAAGAGAGAAAAAAGAAAGAGAAAAGAGAAGAGAAAAAAGAAAGAGAAAAGAGAAAAGAGAAAGAGAAAGAGAAGAGAGAAAAGAGAAGAGAGAAAAGAGAAGAGAGAAAAGAGAAGAGAGAAAAGAGAAGAGAGAAAAGAGAAGAGAGAAAAGAGAAGAGAGAAAAGAGAAGAGAGAAAAGAGAAGAGAGAAAAGAGAAGAGAGAAAAGAGAAAAAAAAGAAAAGAGAAAAGAGAAAAGAGAAAAGAGAAGAGAGAAAAGAGAAAAGAGAAAAGAGAAAGAGAAAAGAAAAGAAAAAGAAGAAAAGAGAAGAGAAAAGAAGAAGAAAAGAGAAAAAAAAAAAAAAAAAAAAGAAAAAAAAAAAGAAAGAAAAAAAGAAGAAAGAAAAAAAAAAAAAGAAGAAAAATGAAAAAAAGAAGAAAAAAGAAAAGAAAAAAAGAAAAAAAAGAAAAAAGAAAAGAAAAAAAGAAGAAAAAAGAAAAGAAAAAAAAAAAAAAAGAAGAAAAAAAAAAAATAAAAAAAAAAAAAAAAAGAAAAAAAAATAAATAAAAAAATAAAATAAAAAAAAATGTATATATTTGACTACTTGACCTATGACGGTATATTTAACTAATTTTATAATTGTATTGTATTTGTCTTATACACGATCAAAAACTCTGCATTTTCCTATATTCAATACTTACTGAATATAAAAAACAAAATATTAAAAGAAAGATAATTTATACTGCCATGCTCTTATGCTATAAATAAAAACAATTACAAAATATATATATATATATTTCTACAATAATTAGCTTCTAGTCTTTAGTAATAATGATACTGATAATACAAGTCTTGCCACAAAAAAATGTAACAGCCACTAACTCTGCAAACAGCTTGGGTACATCAGCTACTCTGGTTGACCATTACTAAGTACTGAATTTTATCCTTACTGGGTATCAAATACTTGTGGCTCCATGCCAAATTAAGCTGAGTAAATAAAAAAACTCTGCAAAAGCCTTTTAACTTCCCTTTTGTAAGACAATTGTAAATTTCTTCAATTCAAGCTTCAAGTGACCACACCTCCCAAGTTTGCCTCGGACAGAAATGAGTATTTATTTATAAAAACAGCACCATCCCCTAAAAACTGACAATTGTTCCCTTCACCGATATACTGAAAACCAATAGAGAGAAAATAAAATATAGACATTATAGTGATTTTCTAAGCATAGCTTAGATGTGGCACAAGGCTGAAAGCATAGAGCACCCAGTTAGGATTGAATTCCCTATTCAGTTGTAATTGTTCTAGCGAGACAAGCTTGCTAACCATTAGATCGCATCGAGGTGCCCCAAAAATGTAGACATTATGAGAATAAAATTAGAAATGACATTAACTAATAAAACACAAAGTTACTGCCAGTAAATTTGGTTGGACTACAACAAAGAAATAGATGGTATAACAGTTGTACAAAGTCTCACTATGTCACTATCTCAAATGTTGACTGTATAAAGATACTGTTTATATATGTAAAGCTGTAAATGAATTCAGTAACATCTGGTATAGTTAAAAATCTCTCTCCAAAGAAACAGTGTATTAAATTAACTAAAGTGACCTTTGACAAAAAAAAAAAAAAAAAAAAAAAAAAAAAAAAAAAAGAGGCTATTTTGCCAGTTCCTGGTAAAATAGACAAACATGCTTTTAAACTGATTTTATTGGTCTCTGTAAAATAGACCCCTAGGTATTTCACCAATAAAAGGCAGTTAAGGTAAAAATAACAGATTTAACAGAAAAATTTATTTCCACCATCAATTGTTAAAACAAGTTGTTCATCATCAGTCATTAAAAAGAAATATAGAAGTCTCTGAATATTTTAAGCACTTCAGGTATAACAGTCACTGCAAATTCAAAACTTGGCCTTGGACACGGTTCTCTTGCCAATACACTTCAGGTGCACCCACTTAAGACAACAGTCACAGACCACAGAATCCATGTTGCTTTTAAGTCCTGTCTACACAGCTCACACAACCACTGCACTATCTCAAATATAATATATTCTTAATTCTAAAATGCTATTATATTTACTGGCAAAATAGCCTATTTGATAAATAAAAGCTTGAGACTGGTTCTCAGTACCTCAGGTCATATTGATTGCTCTGTGACACCAGATTTCCTCAATTTAACCCCCATTCTGAATTGTCATTGAGTAATTTTCCCTACATTATACTTTTTACAGCTGTAATTGAAACAATTTATAAAACAAAAGCTTTAATTTCGATCAAATGAAAAAAAAAATCCCATTTCAATGGATCATAAAACTATTTGATGTCCACTTGCTTCCCTTTGCAAATCACTGGCCTAAGAGAAAATGGGCCTTGTAACAGATTAAAAATAAAATCCACTGTCATTTCAAGAGTTGTTCAGACTATTGAACATTAAATCAATAAGGACAGAGGGGTGTAACATTTTTTCTTTCATGTAAATCAAGAAAGAACAAAAAAAAAAAAAAAACTACGCACAAGATGTAATATACTGATTAGATCAATACTTTCATAAGTAATGTCACTAACACAAGTGAATGCATATTGATCATTCAGAACAAAACCACTTTCCACAACCCATATAAAAGGCAATTCATATATATATATATATATATATATATATATATATATATATATATATATATATATATATATATTTTGTAGGAATCCTCTCCAATTCTCCCTTTGTTGAATCAAAACAGTTCATACTTGTTTGACATACTGACCTAACTTATACATTTATTTGCAAAGATGTGTCATGTCCTCCAAGTTTTTTCTCTTTCCAACAATGTTTTCTGTTACCCAAAGAAATGGCTGTGATTCCATCCCTCTCTATTATTGGTTTTGGATATTATGATATTTCATGAATAAATTTCACAAAATGGTTAGTTCTTCAATATTTCTAGTACATTTGAATATGACTTTATGCATCATTAGATATCCAACATCTGGAACATTATTTTTTTTTTTTATCAGGAGCTTTATTTATTATTATTATTTATTATTATTATTTACTACTACTACTAATAATAATGTTTTTACTATTTGCTCTTGGAGTCAAAGAGTTTAAACCAGAACTTTAAAAACAACAATAACAAGATAGTAATAAAAAAATAACTTTTATTTTTAAAATTATTTTCCTGTTTGTAAAAATTTGCCATTCTACACACATTTCAGTGATGAGGTGTTACTACAATTATAAAAGGATTCCTTTGAAGTAGCTTGTCTTTGTTGATTATAACAATTGTATAATTTCCGTATTTTAGATAAAGGACTACTATGTCTTCAAAACCATAGAGCAGAGAATGAGAAACCACCCCACTATCTTTCCCAAGAAGTCATAGCAATGTACCAATAATAGAGAAAAGGAATCTGGAGAGTCATAATCAGTTTCATTTGAAAAAAACATTGAGGAAAAAAAAGGGGGGGGGAAGAAATAAGAAAAAAAAATGAAAAAAAAGGAAAGAAAAAAAAGGAAAAGAAAAGAAAAGAAAAAAGGAAAAGAAAAGAAAAGAAAAAAGGAAAAGAAAAGAAAAGAAAAAAGGAAAAAAAGAAAAGAAAAAAGGAAAAAAGAAAAGAAAAAAGGAAAAAAAAAAAGAAAAAAAGAAAAAAAGAAAAGAAAAAAAAAAAAAAAAAAAAAAAAAAAAAGAAAAAAAGGAAAAGAAAAAGAAAAAGGAAAAAAAAAAGAAAAAAAAAAAAAAAAAGAAAAAAAAAAAAAAAAAAAAAAAAAAGGAAAAAAAAAAGAAAAAAAAAAAAAAAAAAAAAAAAGGAAAAAAAAGAAGGAAAAAAGGAAGGAAAAAAAAGGAAAAAAGGAAGGAAAAAGGAAAAAGAAAAGAAAAAAAGGAAAAAGAGGAAAAAAAAAAAAAGGAAAAAAAAAAAAAAAAAAGAAAAAAAGAAAAAAAAAAAGAAAAAAGGGGAAAAAAAAAGAAAAAAAAAAAAATAAAAAAAAAAAAAAAAAAAAAAAAAAAAAAAAAAAAAAGGCACCCTGGTTAACCTTCTGAGGAAATCAAATTATGGTATTTATGTTGTTCTCATTACTTTACTGATCATGTCTTGTGTTTTTCTGAGGAAAATCACAGAAAGCAAACAGAATTTGCTACAATGATTTTGAGTGACAGCTTTGTATAACTGAGGATAAAAAACAGAGTCATAGCCATTTTATTAAATATTGACGATGACCAGATAAATAATTGACACTTAATACCCAGCAATGGTGCTGGCAAATTAAAGTTCAAACAATTTTATTAAATTGCTAAAGAATCATGTATAGACAAATTCTTCTAAAAAAGAAGCAAGAACCTGAAAAGCATATTCCCTCACTGATGCTATTTGGTGCATTAATTACTTTATATTGGTCATGTAGTAACAAATAAGTTCATTTAAATAGATATTTATTGATAGAGTTCCTACACAGAATTTTTAATAATTTCCAGATATACAAATGAGAAACAACAGGTGTTACACATTGGTTAAATGGTCATGATTTTTGTGTGAGAGAGAAAAAAAACAAAAGACCTCAAAGCATTAAAAGGTGTGAAAATACTAACTGGATTTGTAAAAGAGAGAAAGAAAGAAAATAAACACTCAGTATGAGCTATGCATAGTAGTGTTGTCATTATCTACAGGTGATATACGTCTCAAACCCAATCACCAGATTTCTGAAACCATGGATAATGACCAAACATTATACAATGATAGACCTACATTTTTGAGGCTCTGAAGCTTGAACATATATGAGGGCTCCTTTGCAACCAGCAGCAATAAATTTCAGGATCCAACTGCCAAAATGTAGGCTATGAATAGATTCTGGCAAGGTCAACAAGCTCATATTGCTGAGGGTTCAGTCAATGCAAGCCCACAAGAAAATTTAGAAATTTGACCAATTATGGGGGATTTTGAGATCATATGAAACAGGCAAAATTTACTAAGAGCTATAAAGGACAAAAAATTGTGGAGAGCCATGATCGCCAATGTCCTGAAGTAGTAGTACTCTATCTTTAGATACCACAATCCCATGACTTGGCACATCAGGGTATAACATGGATATATATTCACAGTATTAAAAAAGATTATATATAAAATTATAAAAGATAAAAATGAATAAAACATGGTGACTGTTTATTCCCATGTCCATGCTGTCTATATCTATAAATGCCCTATCTCCAATATTAAATTACTATGTCACCAAATTTATGAATCAATGTTTTAATCCACTAGGCTATTGTTCTGTGGGACAATCCTGAGTGAAGAACTTGGAGCCTTAAACCTAACTAGCCTGCTGATGAGTGCTGCTATTGTTTGTGTACTGTGTAACTAACACATTTATAATGATTGAGTAAGTAGTCCAGTGAAGTCTTGAGCAAGATTTGGGTAAAACATTGTATCACTCAGGTGCATAAGCAGCTTCCCTATGTTGTAGTAAAGAAAAGGCTGTCGACTGATAGTAGCAACTGCAATAGATTTCTTCTGTTTCTCGGCCACAACACTTGTAGCCAAATCGCAGTTCAAACGATAGTCCGACGTAACAGTCCAACACACAGCGTAGAAACAATAAAATGGGGTCACACATCCAACCTTCACTTCTCACCAACAACAACGCGTGTTTGTTCCACCAAGCTCAAAAAATCATCTCCTTTTATAAGCAAAAAACAACAACTTCTGTTCACCAAGAGAATTTTCTGATTGGTCATGCCATTCAGGGGAGGGAAAAACATTAGCATAGCTTCTAGTCGTTGATGTAGATTTTTGCTAACTACTTTTTGGTAATTTTTCTTCGGCAGATCACACACAAAATACAAACTTTTTTTTTCAGGTAACTGATTATCTCTTTCACTACACAGTATAGATTTGGCTCCCTGCAAACATGGACAAGATTAAAGTGAATGTGATGAGGCAGTCAACAGTGTTGAAAAGTGGAAGGGACAACAGAATAAATAAGGTTCCAAGAGGAATACTTTGAAGGGTGTTGCTACCGTTGCCTGCTGTAGGGTATTTTTTTTTTTTTTAATATTAAATTACTGGATACATTTTCAGAAAAACAGGCATGTTTTATTTTATTTTAATAAAAGGAATTAAAAATCATTCTTTAGAATTACTTTCAATAATTGATTTAACAATATTCTAGCTCATAAGCTCAAGTTCAAGTCATGTTAATAAAAAATCAAACACTTCAAAAAGTTTAGGTACATTGTTTTTTTTAATTTTTTTTTTTTTTTATGCGCCAAGTCCTTTCAATATGTGGGCAGAATGTTTACAATTTAAATAGGTAGATGTTATGACATTTAGAAACTCCTATTGCTACTAATGTATCATATATGCAGGCTGTAAGCTCAACCAAAAGGTCAAAGACAACACAGTGCACAACCATTACTCAATGGAAGATTATACTAATGCTCATCTCAAACTTTCAAGGGGCAGATAATCATGAATTACTGCAATGATTACAACCAAGGTCATTCTTTATTTGCAAAGATTTACCAACTTTTGTAAAAAAAAAAAAAAAATAAAATAAAAAATAAATCAATAAACAAATTAAGTGACTAAAATTCTATGTCTACTAAAAATTAATTCCAGAAAAATGATTTATTGTGCATGTTCTCCATTATGCCTTGCCATTACCCCAGACAAATAATAGCCCATTTCATTTTGATTGTAAGAATACATGGAAGAGAAATATATCAGAGACTTTTTTAGTTTTAGTGATAAATTAAAGCAAACATAGGGCAAGATAGAGTTGATAATGCTCTCATGTGCTTAACATCTGCTTTAATGAAGTGGAAATCTTTTTCAATGCTGAATTTTTCCATTTGTACCCTCTTTAAATAATGACCTGCATTCATACTTCTGATTGTTAGTGCAAATATTTTGTTAAGGTTGTTAAGCTCAGATATGTAACAGTGTAATTGGGTAATTTCCATGGATATCTTATACTTGTAGAAGCTTATTCAATCAAGAATTATTATTCATCAGAAAATTCAAATAGGAAAATGCAATCAGTTAGCAAATTAAGATTTAATATAACAGCCACAGCTATTCTGACAGGATGCAGCAGGCAGCGACATTGTTGCTGTTGCTATGACAGCTTATCTGTTGCATGTTTAAGTCTTAAAGAGTTTTTTGCTGAATGATCCAATTGGTGATTTGTAGATAATCTCTTGATGTTTCAAAAAAGACTGTAGAATAGAGAAATTAATTCTTTATGGATATGAGAATAATAAAAGCAAGCATGATGTCCCCACTGACTACTTTTATATGGCCACAAGTGGCATAAAGCTATATATGCTTTGCAGCAACTGTTTGAAAAGGCCATAACAATGCTTTCATCATATAAACATAAAAAAAACAAAAAAAAACAGAACTAAGTGGGGAAAAAAAAAAAAAAAAAAAAAAAAAAAAAAAAAAAAAAAACGGCTTGGAGTGCATGGCTTAGTGAATTTTGTGGCAGAGTAATTATGAGTTCAATTCCTTGTTCAGGTAGTATGAGTATTCTGACTATGGAAAAAAATTTAGCAGTAGCTGATAAATACAGAAGAGATGTAGAAGGAGGAGGAGAAGAGATGTAGAAGGAGGAGGAGAAGAGATGTAGAAGGAGGAGGAGAAGAGATGTAGAAGGAGGAGGAGAAGAGATGTAGAAGGAGGAGGAGAAGAGATGTAGAAGGAGGAGGAGGAAGAGAGATGTAGAAGGAGGAGGAGAAGAGATGTAGAAGGAGGAGGAGAAGAGAGAGATGTAGAAGGAGGAGGAGAGAGAGATGGGAGAAGAAGGAGGAGGAGAAGAGATGTAGAAGGAGAAGGGGAGAGAAGAGATGTAGAAGGGAGAAGAAGAGATGTAGAAGGGGAGAAGAAGAGAGAGAAGGGGAGAAGAAGAGAGAGAAGGGGAGAAGAGGAAGAGAAGGGGAGAAGAGGAGGAGAAGGAGAGAAGAAGAGAAGGAGAGAAGAAGAGAAGAAGAGAAGGAGAGAAGAAGAGAAGGGGAGAAGAAGAGAAGGGGAGAAGAAGAGAAGGGGAGAAGAAGAGAAGGAGAAGGGGAGAAGAGAGAGAGAGACACACACACAGACAGACACACAAAAACGAAAAAGTTGTTTGACAACCAAAGATAGACAAGGTCAGAAATATTCCTTTACGTCAACAGGTCTTTTGTCAATTCAGGTAACCTTCAAGTTGAACCCTTCACTGAATCTACAGGAGTAGATTATGTCCACTATACTGTCTAAGCAGTACTACAGATCAAAGATATTCCTAGATATGGACAGTAAATTGATAATAATCTACTCCCACAGAGTAAAAAATATTGTACAATGACAGATTCTAACAATAAAAAAGAAGACATTAATTGTTGACTTTGTATATCTGAGTATACCTGCTTCCTAGGGCAGCTAGTTGACTCCTGCTGCAGATGTTTGCTCATGCACATTTGTGTTTGTTCAACACCCACAGACACACCTCTGACTTATACTGTAACTATGTTGAGCAAACCTTAGTTACAGTTTCTGGCGAAAGTGCATCATCCAGTGTAATCAATAGTTTGAACAAGGCCAGTATGCCCCAACCCTGTCACGATGACTTGTTACTTTGTGCTAGCACAGCCATCAATGAACAATTTCATCACTTCAATTTCCCTCACAAAGTTTGGGTCAACCTGTGTTGTAGTTTACAGGCTCTTTCCAAAACTGTTGCATGCTGGGGGTGCCTCCCAAGGCCATTAATTTCAAAAAGTCACCTTCCTGACAAATTGACCATGGTGAGATTTGAACCTGGATCTCATGGTCAGAAAGCAAACTTTCTAACCACTCAGCCATATGCCCATAATGAACACAATCTAACTGTAAATAATGTTAATTCCTCATCTCAAAATCCAAACAGAAATTGCATTTTGAAATCAGATAATGATCTAATTAAATAGAAAGTGTGGAATTTTCAAGCGTTGAAATCCACACTAACAACGTTCCTTTTCCTACTGAAAACTCTTAAAAGGAAATCCAGGATTTGGGTGACAAGTGCTTGAAATATTCAACTGTAAAAATCAGCATGCTAACTTTCAGCATGTGGACTGAAGCCCAAGATGCGGCTTGAGAGACATTCAATCATATTGACTTCTGAAATTGATGTTTTTCATACTCTAATTCTGACTGATCAATGAATCACTTCAAAAAGAATTCCCAAGACATTATAGATATCCAGGGAATACACTGGGTTTATAATTCATAAGCAATTGGCTATGCAAAAGTGTTCAGCCAAGTTGGAACTGAAGTCTGAATGCCAACCAGAAACAATATTGAAAGGACACTTCTAAGATGATTTTGAAGTATTTTTAGTGACAGTAATTTTTGGAATAGCTTACTTTTTACTGTTCATGAAACCTGGTCAAAAAGACACAAAATAACAGTCCATGCAAGGACAGCAATTGGGTTCTCTACAAATAAAGACATTTAAGGTCTGCAAGTTAGCAGGAAAGGTATTTGAAGATAAGAATATTACAGTCATGAGGTGTGTCAAAAGAGACATCAAAAATGGTGAAGTAAGTTGTGAAAAGGTATCGTCTATAAGCAAAACAATGCACCTGCTCAGACAGATTGAAGAGACAACAGATTCATTTAAAAGTTTGTTTATCTAGAAGGAGCTAATAGCAAAGAATCCTCCAATGCCAACATTCACCTTTTTTGTAATGGACTCTGGAAGTAAACAGCTTGGCAATAGAAAAGAAGAGCTGTGAGAGACATGGGAATAAAGAAAACATTCAACACATTTGAAGCCGACTTCATTCTTGAGAATTTTTTCTCTGAGTGAATAAAAATCATCCACCCTCCTAACCAGCTCTTGCTCCATCTGGATACTTTCCTTTTCAAAACCTTAACATGAGTTTGAAAGAAAGGAACATATTTAACAATTTTCTAGCAGTAGAGGAAATATCAATGTGTTTTTTGAAAGACTTAAAAGAAAGTACATACCAAGGGTGTTGAAGTGCACAGCGAAATAGCATGGCTCTAAATCATTTCCTTTATGGTTAGGCTGATAACTTTTCAGCTCCCCCTATGTAACTATAGCAGACTACATATTTATTAATGCAACATTGTTTATGTATGTCTTTTTTTTTTTTAATATTATATAAAACAAATCGATAGACTCCATATTTAGGACACCTGCTGTTGAACAATAGTAAATATAAAAGTGATTCTCATTTGGTACATAATATAGTTGCAGTGTTATATTAAGCTGTGCATGTGGTTATCTAGAATTGTTTATAAAGAGAAAAAAAGTTTTTGCTTTTTATTTCAGATATTAGCTTCACCAAACACTAATTTATTCGTTATGTAAAAGTACTAATAAAAGAATAAAAACACATTAATATTAAAGTAATTGTATTGTACTTATAAAATATCAAAAACTTCAGACTTTTTAATTTATGTCCATGGTTTACTGATATTAAATGAAAGTAACAGAAAAATTAAGATGACAAATCATCGTCTACCTTGACCCTTGCCATAAATGAAGACAATTATGACAAATGAATTTATTTTTAACACACACTTTAACATCTTGATTTATTTCTAGTACAAACATATGGTATTTGTTGTCAACTGAAGAGTTCACTACATGGAAATTGGCAATTAACCTATGTCAATAGAGCAGACTTTTTATCACCAAGAAAAAAAAAAAAAAAAGGAATTAAAAAATAAACGTACACTATAAATATATATATATATATATATATATATATGTGAAGAAAAATAGTTTTAAGGTATTCTATATTTATGGGATAAAGTGCTCAATATCAGAGATACTGTGTATGTAAATATTTATATATTTCTATTTGTTCCATGTCTTTTTCAATCTGCTTTTTTTTTTTTTTAAACTGTTTTTTACATGTGCATATTCATGAATTTAATATTCTTTTACACATGTTCATGAAATTTTGCTTTTATTTATGTCTCATTTTTTAGTTGTAGATTTTTCTTCCAGTTGCAAATTTTTTCTTTGAAATTATTATTTTGATGGTTTAAGTTATATTATTAATTGTAAAATTTGTTAATGTGTATTATTGAATTATATTTTAGTTAATATTTTAATTGATTTATGTTATATTATTAAAGTAATATTACTTTAATATTATTATTTTAATATTGAGCTCTCTATATAAAAATATCTGCTGTTTCTTAAATATATATCTCAAATATGTGGTGCAGTTCATTATATATTACAATGAATCATTCATACAAAAAGTAGATTAGTAAAGTTAATGATATAAAATGGCGAAATCCTTTCGCAAACAAAATTTTTAAAAAGGTGCATTAACTTATGAATCCCTCGATGAATGCTATGATCCTTGTTTTTAAAATTAGGGACTGTATAAAGGTCTTTCTTTAATATGCTAGTACTTTCAACTGTACATTCAGTCATCCTCAGGCATGGAAATTATTTTATTGGTAAAATTCATTAGAATCCAAAGTGTGTGTGTGTGTGTGTGTGTGTGTAGGTCTGAAGATCGAGGCATAAAAGTGATAGTCACCATGCAATGTTGATTCCTATAACTACTGTTTATATCTATAAAAACTATCTGATACTGAACACTATTCCTCTATAAACAGAATAAATTTATAAGTGCACACAAACCATTTCATATATATATGAATTCCTTTATTTTCTCAAACTTTGATCTATCCTTCCTAATTTTTGATTGTATTTGATGAGGATGAAGATCTCTAAGTGCTTTGAAATAGAATGTCACTGAAAATAAAACCAGCTTGACCAATGAAAATTCTACAGCTGTTCACATTAGCAGATAAGAACATCCATATTATCTCGTGCCTGTTTTTTCCTCTTTTTCACCGATCTTCTCTTTCAATCCCTTATCCTTTTCAATCTTTGTAGCCTGTCTATGTTTTTAACAAAATGGTTTGACAAATATCAGTTTTTTCATATTGGGGTAAAGAAAGAAATTAATATATATATACACACACACACAAACAAATCTATGGACCTCTCCCTCCCATCTACTGACTTCACATGCAACAAACAAAATATGCTGGCTATTAGTACATTGATATGAGGTTTGTATGCATATGATTATGTATACGGTATTCTGTACATATACAGTACAGTATACATTTATTTATGCCATATATACATGTTTATAGTATTTACATTATGATCATAACTACTGGTACTTACTATAGTGGTTTTATAACTCAAAAATATATATATATATATATATATATATATATATATATATATATATATATATATATATATATATATATATTACACACATTGGTTGTTGTCGATCAATGAAAGTTTTTTTTTTATTTTTTCTACACTTCAGATCATTTTTCTGGTTTCCAGGGAGAATTTGATTTGAATATAAACTGTTCAACTTCTGAGCACTTTTGCCTTTGATAAACCATTATAAAAGCAAAAAGATTTTAATTCAAGTCATTGTATTGTACAATTTGAGCAAAATACAACCCTGTGCTACTGAAGCAAAATGAAAAGGAATAAATTACATCCTTGTGTATAATACAATCATCCCTATGTAAATTTTTACTAAAATATTTAATTTTTGACAATATTAAGGAATAAAAATGAACTGGACGTTTAGCCATTTTGTGTTTCTTCTAATTTCTATTTCAAAACTTATTTTTGAATTTTTGGGGAAAGGTGTTGACTTGACATACCTTGTAATACAATTTATGGGGTTATTTAATCTATCATAATTTTCTGTTTGATATGACTTTATTATTTTATATATTAAAATAAACAAAAATCGTCTTTCATTAAGAAAAGAAACAAAATATAGCCAACATATCAAATACCTTTTGTAAACAATTGTTATCAAAACCTGCCTACTGTTTTATTATTTATTGCGTTGAGTGTTTTTGCAATTTTGCTTTTTCAAAAAGGTATTTTAAGCCAAGTAAAACTTTCTAAAAATGTGTACTTGTGTATAATACAAACCCCCACTCTTTCCCTTTAATTTTCATTCAAGATTTCTTGTATTATACACAAGAAAATATAGTAGTATCTTTTTAACTGTTATCAGTTGCCCATAATGATACTTTAGAAAAGTTTCCATGCTATGAAAAATAATTGCTCTCAGAATTGTTTCATTCTAGCTTTGTCCTTCATAAAGAAAGAAAGAGGTAGAGAGACTTCAAAAGAACTCAAACAACCAATAGCAGATAGAGATATATAGAGATAGAGATATATAGAGAGAGAGATATATATATATAGAGAGATATATATATATATAGAGAGCGATATAGATATATATATATATATATATATATATATATAGAGATATATATATATATATATATATATAGAGAGAGAGAGAGAGAGAGAGAAAAAAAGTGGAGGAAAAAATTTGAGATTGAGGAGTGGGAAAACAAAAGAAAAACAAAAACCAGGAAAGATGGAGGAGAAGCAACATTGCAGGCTACACTGGTTAATTAACTGACTATGATATTAACCATTATGGTTAACTGATCTTCCAATAAATCTCCTTTGGATGTATCCAGTGAATTCCCCATGTAGATTGATTAGTGCCAGAATTTAGGTGCCACATAGCAGATCTTTATTAAAAGAGTCCTAATGAATCAATTTCCTCTGAAAGAAGTAAGATTATATCTGTACTAGTTATCAATGATATATTGCTGACCCAACTGCATCACTTCTTGGTCAGTCTTTATGGAACACTAGTGACATGACATTTGTCAAGGCAATGGATGGACACAGCCTCAAACAGAACTTAAAAAAAAAAAAAAAAGCAGTTGTCTTTCATTTTGACCTAAAGACACCTACCTAACACACAAAGGGGAAACACATTGTCATTAAAAAATTTTCCACTTTTGTTTGGATTCTATATCCTACTAACAGGTATACAATATCTGTATGAAGTTGTAACCTCTGTTGTCTGTCTGTTTATCAAACGCCTCCTAGAGTTTTGGAGATAGAACCCCCCCACCAAAAAAAAAAAAAAAAAAATACATTACCCAGGGTACTTGCATAAGTATATTTCATTTTGATCAAAGGGGGTCACCTGAGGGGCACCTCCCCCCATTGAATGTTTTCCCCTTGATTTAAATCAAATTTAAACAAGAAAATGACTCCTATCCAAAATAAAGGAGAAAACCAGAAGATGGAGGTCACATCAGCAAGATCAAAATTGAGCAAGAAATCAACTATCAGTGGATAGTGCCTTAAAATACATATTTGTTGCAACAATTCAACTGTCATATCAATGTTGAAATCTGATCATTTCTTTTAATCAAGTATATATCAAAGTGGTCAGATCAAGCTATTTTTGCATCACCGAACTGAAAAAAATTTTTTTTCCCTTTGATTTAAATTAAATTTAAAACAAGGGAATGACTCCCATCCGACATATAGAAAGAGAAAGCCAGAAGATGGAGGTCACATCAACAAAATCATTGAGTAATAAAATGTGTGACACACAGCAAGGTGCAGGTAATTCGGCTAATATATATATATATACACACACACAAGATTGTGTATCAGTGAGCTTTGAAGGAGTAGGACATTTTGATACCTCTTAAAATCAAAGTAGAAATATATCTTAGAAAAAGGAAGTTTATAGATGAGGCAATATTTATTGTGTGTCAGAAAAAAAAAAATAAAAGAAAAGGTACTCACTTCAAAGATGAATTTAATTTGGTTGCTTTATTGGTAAAATCCTCCCAGATTGGTGAACTTCTCTGGAAAAGAAATAAAAGAAAAAAATGTTGAAAGAAATACTAACTACAACTAAATCAAGGACAACAATTCAAAAACTTCACCCCTTGCTGCAAAAATATGGCATTCCTGGTAGACTGAATTTTTCTCTAGATAAAAAAAATGTAAATAAAATTCAATATAACTAAAGGTAAATGTATTTTTACTTATAGAAATATGAATTTAAATGATGGCCTTGATTGGATCAGAAAAAAAAATCCTTGGCATATGTTCCTTAACAAAAGTTTACATGCAGTTTGAAAAATCATCAATGCCATAAAAATAAGAAATTTCATTTTCAACAAGGTGAAACACTTCCTTATTTCTTTATCGCATCAGGTCTAAGACTAAATATCTCCAGGCAGACAGTTCAAATGCAAATAAATTGAATAATCACATTTTTAAGGAAAAATACCTGAAGGACAAGGCTTATACCACAAGACCAAATAGACTGCAGAGAAATTTCACATAAAATCCATTAATTGATTTTGCCAACTCAGTCTCATCCATGCAAATCATTGCTGCAGAAGGGTAACATTTGAACATATCAAATAATAATCATAATAATAATAAATAAATTACAATAATACATTATATATATATATATATATATATATATATATATATATATAATCCAATATATGCTTGCATGGGTATGGCTTCCATAGCTTTTGATGTTAATTGTTTGGATATGTTAACATGTTGATATTTTGCCTTGGTGAATTACGATGACCTACAGTAAATATTCACTTCAACAACAGATTTACCTGTCAATTGCCTGACCATACCTAATAGGGCATGTCTCCCACAGTCTGATGAATTGTGCATCTAGTCATAAGTGGGGGAAGTATCATGTAGTGTTGACTTTTATTTTAAAGTGAAGGCATAGGCAGCCAAGGTGACCTGGGATTCACATCTAGGTACTTGAGAACACAGAATTAATTGGTGAGCAGACTGTTATCTTACTGAAAGGTATTTCTAACTAGACTTCCCCTGCAAAGTTATGCATTGCTTTTGACTGGGTGGCATGAAGGATGTATTTATCTTTATATATTTGTATCCCAACATCATTACTTATGTTAATAATAATAATAATAATAAGGGAGAGAAAAAGATAAAGATAAAAAAGAAAGGAAAATGTTTAAATTAACTCTCAATTGAGAGCCATAACTGCTATTAACAAAAGGGTCACCTCAGTGATGATTAAAAGTTAATAACTTGTTTTTTTCTGATATTAAAAATTACAAGGCTGTTTTTTTTTTTATATTGGGCTGTTACTTCAAGGTCAGATGGGAGAAGGTTCAGGTCATCTAGATTTTTGGAGGTGCACTCATAAACTGTAGTTTGGACAAGACAGAGATTCATACCTTTCCAAAAATGAATGCTACAAATTTTGAGCCCATATTTCTAGAACAGTGTGTATTCTATTCCATAATATTCTTAAGGATTTAATTAATTTTCAGATCAGAAACAGAACTTCTTAGTGATAACTTCATATGAGATGCTATTATATACACACACACACAAACGCACACATTCTTGACCAGCCAAACCCATGACCCAAAATTTATAATCAAGCACCACTTTATATAATTTATTTGATAATCAAAAGTGGAGTGTTCAAATGTCTCATGGAAGTTTTTCTAAGCTAAAATTGTGTAAAGTGAAGAAGCAATTACCATAAATGCATTTAGGAATAAATATAAAAATAAATAAATAAATATTACTATATAGGTTTACCTATTGTCTGGTTCACACACCTCCCCAATGTCTTGAACATGATTAGAGGGTCATCCCTTCTTTCCTGTTTAGGATTGGCTTTCTGGCCCCTTCTAAAGTCTACTTCAATTCTATACTCATAACATCTCAGCCTGAATTAGCTAATTAAATGTTGACCTCTACATGTCTAGAATTAACTGTCTATCTTTCCTGTTATCAATACAATTCCACAGAGTAGCCTTCTGCTTTGAGTGACCCCTGGGCCTTGAATTGGGTGAAACTTAAAAAAAAAAAAAAAAAAAAAGAGTAGAATAATAAATAACAAGTGATAAATGAAATTAGCTAGAGTATATACCCAAAGCATATATTTAAAAAAAAAAAAAAAAAAAAAAAAAAAAAAAAAAAAGAATTAGAATTAAAGTTTTTAGTGACCCCCCGCTCTTTTGTGTACAGTCCAATGAAGTCCTACAGGACAAAACACATCACACAAAACACACAAAAGCCTTGTCCACTTTTTAATAGCTTTCCCTAAAATTGCTCTTGATATATAAAAATTTATATCCTTTTCCATTATATCTCAATTCATTCTAAAAACTGAATATATCTGCTGAGATACTGTGATAGCATGAAGAATGCAGAGGAAGTTAATTGTCTTAAAATCATAGACAATCTAAAAGTTTTTCTCCATTTGAGTAATGGGCTCTAAGTTATTAATAATATTTTTTTTCAAGTTTTATTTGCTACCTGATATCCAGAAAAATGTTTTATTTTTAAACATTTTCTCTGACGCCAGTATAAAGCATCAAGGGATTCTGGTTCAGTTTTTTTTTTTTTACCCATCTTCATGTGAAGACAGTCTGTCTTTAAAGAAATTTACAAACATATGATACTTCTTAAGATGGGTTGACTGGAGAGCCAAAATTCAACAGAGTGGAGCAAGAGTGTTGAGTGAACTTTGTGACATTATTATTATTAGAAAGTGTTTAAGAGAAAATTGGAGTGGTAGGAAGCATGTATCAGATAAGACTGAAGTAGGTTGGTAAGTAACTAGGTAAGGAAAACACCACTTTTTGGAGCTGAGTAAAGAAAAAGAGAGAGAGGGAGGGAGCAGAAGAGAAGAGAGAGAGGGAGGGAGCAGAAGAGAGAGAGAGAGGGAGGGAGCAGAAGAGAAAAGAGAGAGAGGGAGGGAGAAGAGAGAGAGGAGGGAGAGAGAGAGAGAGAGGGAGGGAGAAGAGAGAGAGAGGGAGGGAGAAGAAGAGAGAGAGAGGGAGAGAAGAGAGAGAGGGAGGGAGAAAGAGAGAGAGAGGGAGCAAGAGAGAGAGAGAAAGGGAGCAGAAGAGAAAAGAGAGAGAAAAGGAGCAGAAGAGAAAAGAGAGAGAGAAAGGGAGCAGAAGAGAAAAGAGAGAGAGAAAGGAGCAGAAGAGAAAAGAGAGAGAGAAAGGAAGAGAAGAGAAAAGAGAGAGAAAGGGAGCAGAAGAGAAAAGAGAGAGAGAGAGGGAGCAGAAGAGAAAAGAGAGAGAGAAAGGGAGCAGAAGAGAAAAGAGAGAGAGAAAGGGAGCAGAAGAGAAAAGAGAGAGAGAAAGGGAGCAGAAGAGAAAAGAGAGAGAGAAAGGGAGCAGAAGAGAAAAGAGAGAGAGAAAGGGAGCAGAAGAGAAAGAGAGAGAGAGAGAGGGAGCAGAAGAGAAAGGGAGAAGAAGAGAAAAGAGAGAGAGAGAGAGGGAGCAGAAGAGAAAGAGAGAGAGAGAGGGAGCAGAAGAGAAAAGAGAGAGAGAGAGGAGAGAAGAGAAAAGAGAGAGAGAGAGAGAGGGAGAGAGAAAAAGAGAGAGAGAGAGAGGGAGAGAAGAGAAAAGAGAGAGAGAGAGAGGAGGGAGCAGAAGAGAAAAGAGAGAGAGAGAGGGAGAGAAGAGAAAAGAGAGAGAGAGAGGGAGCAGAAGAGAAAAGAGAGAGAGAGAGAGAGCAGAAGAGAAAAGAGAGAGAGAGAGAGAGGGAGCAGAAGAGAAAAGAGAGAGAGAGAGAGAGAGGGAAGAAGAGAAAAGAGAGAGAGAGAGGGAGCAGAAGAGAAAAGAGAGAGAGAGAGAGAGAGGAGAAGAGAAAAAAGAGAGAGAGAGAGAGAGGGAGCAGAAGAGAAAAGAATGTTCAAATAAAGTAAATAAAAGACTAAACTTAGGTTAATGAACATTGCTCCTATAGAAAGATTTCAGTTTATGGAGAGTTGTGTATGGATCAAAAGGCAAGTCATAAAATGAATACTATAAAGCTAGAATTTGTAAAATATCATCAGCTAGTTTTAACTGACAGAGGATACATCTATCTATATATATATATATATATATATATATATATATATAAGAAAAAAAAAAAAAAAAAGTATTTCTGCCCCATCTGAGCTGGAGTTGCCTAGACTCATTTTCCAGCCTTGACAGAATTTAAAAATGTTTGTTCAGCCTTGTGGGTGATGAATCATTTTCCTCCTACTACCCTTTCACCATAGACAAAAACATTGCTAGCATCTCGTTAATCTACATATATTTTTCAGGGGACATTTCAGGCAAATTACAATCTATCATTCCAGACTTTCACAACTAGGATCATGTACACTAAATCAACTCGTAATCATTTCATTGATGAGGAGGAAATTCCATTCAGATAGCTTTGTTGAATGGACTCCCACGAGGATGTTTCCTCAATCATGACAATCTTATCTGTCCTACACATAATATGCACTGGTTTCTGGTACAACATTTAGTAACCCTCTACCTTGAGTGACTCTTGGGCTTGTATTGAATGAAGAACCATAGTGTGAAGATCAAGTGAAGTTGTCTTTTAAAACTCTAGCATGATATCGTTGCCGATTTTGGTAACGTTATCTCAATGATTGCAGTTTAGACCACTTTAACATCCCATTCCTCCTAAACTAGAAGCAAACGCAGGTTCAGTTGCCAAAATTTAGTGGAGCATGCTCAAATGGCTGTTCTAGGTAGGGGAAGATTTAAAAGGGATCCTTAAATTTCAAACTTTAGTTTAATTTTTTTTTCTCAGCCCTTTTTGTGAGATAAGTGCCCCACCCTAGTTACTCTGGCCTGCTGTAGAAGGAAAGGAAAGGGGGGGAAAAAAAGAAAAAAAGAAAAGAAAAGAGAGTTTATGTGAATGGGTGCTCTGAAAGTAATGCTTCCTCAAAACGACCCCAGAAAGTAAAATAGATATAGGAAGCATAACACCATCAGATCGACCAGGTTTTAAGGTAAAATAAAAAAACATTTTTACATATAGTCACTGCCATTTGTATTGTGCTTGGGGACCTTTGTGCCTGTTTAACACCTTGTTTATACTGCAACTATGATGAGCAGGCCTTAGTTACAGTTTCCAGGAGAGAGTGCAGCATCAGCCATAATCAACAGTCTGCATGCAAGCACAGCCATTAGCAAATAATTCCATCTACTCTATTTCACTCACAAGGCTTGTGTTAACCTGTAGCCTGCTTTTTTGGCACTTTCCATTAAAGTGTTGCACACTGGGATTGCCTCCCTTGGCTAATAACATCAAAAAGTCACCTTCCTGATTGACCATGTTGGGATTTGAACCTGGGTCTCATAATTAAAAAGTGAACATTCTAACCATTACCATTGCTAACTGTGCTAGATTCATTGTTTTGTCTCCATAAATATCCTTGTTTTTTTTTTTTTTCTGTATGGAGGATTTTAACAACACCCTTGATTTATACATACTTTCATACTAGATACCATAACACAAGACTGCTACTCGGTTGCTATCGATAACAAAGGGAAAAGCAAAAACGGACCCCCAGGTGTCTTTGTGGATGATGTCCAACTCCTACTTAAGTGTGAGAGATTTGCCATTGAATAATAATTAATCTAGTTTTCCTACTGAAGTTGAGTAATCATCAAGCATACCTTATGATGTTATGGTTAACAAGCTTGTCTTGTTAACCATTACTAAAGTTCTATATTCACTGGGTGATCCACTCTTATGACTCGTGCCAGACTAATTTGGGATGAGTAAATAATAGCCATACATGACCAATATCCCTAGTTTTACCACAAAAGTGAATTGATTTACAAAACAAGTTTGTTAATCATCGCATCCTGATACACACCGTATTTACTAAGTGTCACCAAGTCTGGTACAAGGAAGCAGTTACACAGATTGAACATATAATGGTAGGTACTTTCAACATCTTTTAGAGAGCCTGTCTCAAGTAGATGGATATCAATGGTGAGTGGGCAGTAAGAGTGACTATTTGAGTGTTTGTTGCTATAGCAGCAAACAGTTCAATCAGCTGTAGCCATAGGCAGATCTTATTGTTGACAATGTTATTAATGATCACTCGTACACACGATAGTGGTCATCAGTTGACAGATGTTGGGAGCCAGGGACGATGTGTTGCAATAAAGACAGTTGGAGTGATATTGAGAGAGAAAAATGCAAATAAAGAAGAGCGAATGAGGGAAAACAGTCCCATTTTTAGAAGAAAGAAAAAAAGAATAGAGTGTAGTTTCAAGCTTTCAGTCTCATGTCGAAAGGAAGGAACAAAAAAAGAAAAAGATGAACGAAAAGTGGTTGGAGAATAAAAAGGTAAGAAAAGGTGAAAGAAAGAAAAATTACCAAAGAGAAAGTGTAGATGATGATAAAAATAGAAATGATATCTACCAAAGTAATACCTGCATCAAGGAGCTTAGAATCTGACATGACACTGATAAAGACACTCATATCAAATACAAGTGGCAATAGCCATAAATACAATGCCATGACAGAATAACTATGCAGTGACAGTGGAATGGTGTAATCAATCTTCATAAAATTTATATGATTAAAAAGTGGAGGAATTAGACAAAAGAAAAAGATATAAAAAATTATTTTTTTACATTATATATAAATTGGGGGACACTTCAAAATGGTGTAATGGTTAGCAAGCATGTCTCGCTAAATCAATCTTTTTTTTTTTTTTTTTTTTAAGTGTTTCATCCCAAGCAAGGTGGGTAGCCACTAGCACGCAGGGGATTACAGAGAGTTGGAGCGAGAACAAAGAGGAGTGATAGAGGAAAGGATGAAGAGAAGGATAGGGGATAGATCAGGGCATCTGGAGATGTCGATTGACATTACATTTGAATAGTTGGAGATTATGGCTATCAGGGAAACAAAAAGTGGGGAGGTAGTTCCACAAGAGAGAGGTGCGAGACATAAAGCTATTGGAGTAGAAGAGATGGCTACACTTAGCAGTTTCGACAGTGAAAAGTTGTAAGCGAGATGCCAGCCTAGTTGAATGCTTAAATTCATGAATTATGACTGAATAGTGAGTTTGATCCTCACTGGGTGCCCTATACCATTATATTAGTATTGTTATATTAAAAACTATTACACAAATTCAATTGAAATGTTCATCGCTAACTAAATGCCAAATATACAAACTTGAAAAATATCTAGCAAAAAAAAAAAAAAAAATGAAATAATGGATCTAAATGAAACTTTTGGTATTTTTTTTTTATCAAATTGTTATTTATATTATGATCACTTTTTTAAGGTAAATGGAAAAAAAAAAAAAAAGACATTTAGAATTAGGAAGTCCTTCCATAAAACTATATCTATTGTCAAAACTCTTCTAAACATCTGTGAAGAAGTCCATCATTCACTGCCATGTAGGAGGATTGATATTATATAGCAGTTCATCATTTTCCTTATTTCATCAAGTGTAATTGGTGTCTTGAAGACAGTCTTGAATTATTGTTAATAGCAGTGTACCCACGCCCTATTATCTTTGGGAAACGTCCTACTACATAGTCTTGGGTCTCTTAATAAGTGTTCCACCTCCACTTATTCATTTTTGAGAGGAAAAAAAAAATTCAAACTTCTACTCTCTTCATTTTTTTTTGTCAAGAGAATGAGTTAGCATTTTTACATAGGTTTCAAATGATCAAAGCATTAGTCTTTTGACATAATTTACCCCACCCGCTTATTTTAACCTCCTCCGTTTTATTCAAGATCCAAGATTATACCAAGCCCAACACATACATGCAGATTGCTGTTCATTAGCAAATATATATAACAACAACAAAATCCCTGCAAAGCTGGGATTAGCTTTTGTTTAAAGACCTTAAATCTTTGGTGGATGAAATGATGATCTGGGATGTGTGTGTGTGTGGGGGGGGAGAGACTGTCAATGAAATTATTTATTTACAGTTTTTTCTAATTAAAAGAAAAAAAATCATCATTCAAGTGAGGTGATTAACCAACTCCCAATCCAAAAAACATGCACAAAAAAGGGGTTACTGAGAGTGAAAGAAAATCAGAAAACTCTGCAGATGAGAAAGGACAATGAAAGGAACAGGATACAATTAAAGATGACAACTGACATTGCATTTAAAATTTTTTAAGATTGTAGTTGACTGGAAAGCAAAAAGCTGGACATGAGTTCCACAGGTGATTTGGTTTGGATTTGGTTTATTTTGTTTAATGGCATATCAACCTCAATGGGTTAAGTCCCACAGGTGAAAAGTGAGAGAAGAAACTATTAGAATAGAACTTACACTTAGGAATTACAACAGTAAAACAATGAGACCTAGCTGCCAATCTAGTACTACACTTAAATTTATGAAGTCAAGACCAAACATGATAACTTATTAGAACAATTGTCATGAAAATATTTATAGAAAAGTTATAATGGTGGGAAAATGATTTAAGCCAAGGTGCCAAGTTAGAACCAATAACATTGCAGATTCTTTTTTCTGTCATAAGAATTTTAACATGAAAAAAAAAAAAAAAAAACCCAAATAATTGTCACTGCCCATCATTTAAGGCAATGCAAACTGGTTAGAAGGAGACTAAGATCAAAACAATGTGGCCTCAGGATTTCCCACCAAAAGTACATCTACTAATGCACAATATATTTTATTTATTTTTATTAAGTGTTGATCAGAAAAAAACCAAGTGCTACTATACAGCCAAATTGCACTGAAAGAAATTTATATATATATATATATATATATATATATATATATATATATATATATCATCTGAGTGCTATTGAAGAGTTTGGACTAGGCCTTGGATGAAAGAAACAGTACTTTGAAATTATTTTCACTACATCGATCCATGGAAACACCATAGAAGTTGCCTAAAGTCTCTGCTCTTCTCTCACTATATTGTCTGTATCTTCTCACTATC